TGTATTTCCTTCTAGACCCTCAAGTTTTCCTCCAAACCTGGTCAAATAAAAAGCTTTCTTAGTTTACCCAGAAGACTCCAGAATCCAGAGGTTTCAGAGAAAAATATAGTGACAGCCTCTCCCTTTTCCCTCCTCCTTCCACATCTCATTTGTGTGCCAGTCAGGGAGTGACAGAGGTGGTCTCAGGTCAGCTTTAAAGCTGTGGTAACTCAAAACCAACTCCTTAAACTCCATGGGATCACAACAGAAGCCATCTAAGAGCACTGAATTGTTATGTAGCTCTTGCAAGACACTCTGCCTGTTGAGGGAATGCTGTGCTCTGCATTGGTTGCCATATCTATACAGGTGTAAGGTGTAGAGAGCACTGCTTTGGAGTTCACACAGGCCTTGATGATAATACAGAATCCCCATCCAAAAAGGAAAAGGTTTACATTGATGGCCAAATGCAAATAATGAAAAGCCAAATTGTGTCTTAGGGCATTGTCACGGAGTGGGGCCTAGGAGCGGCTGTGATCCCGCTAGCGCCCCCTGCCGTGCCAATTAGGCGATCCAGCACCCCCTTATTCTCGCCCGCCATGTCTTTGATCTTATATAAAATTTAATATGGGAGGCTGCCTTTGATCTCCTAGTATCTATGGGTGACTTGGTGCACCGCCAGCCTTATGGGCCATGCATGCCTCCTACCTCCCCTTTAGCACGCCCCAAGCCTCACAGTTATTCCGGATGGTTTTTTTGCGTCTCCGATCTATGCCCTCTCCGGGCCTTTATCCACGCGCCCTGCCTTCTCCGGGCTCCTGTTCACGCGCTCTTCTCCTCCTGGCCCTGACCCGCACGTCCGCCCCTCTCCAGGCTTCACTCGCGTGCCTGCCCCTCTCCGGGACTCTTAACTGCGCGCTCGCCCTTCCCCGGGGCGTCTATATAAAACCGGTGCCGCTCCAATCTTATACTAGCCCTCCCCGGGCTTCGCTCTCGCACCCTTGCCCTCGCTGGGGCCTGTGTCCGCGCCTCTCGCACCCGTGGCTCTCTCCGAGCCTGCACACCAGCCCTGTCTCGGGCTTTCACCGGCACCGGGGCTCAGGTGGCACGCAGCCATGCCTGGCCCCCTGACCCTTCTTGGGGTCCTATGCCCTCACTGGGCTGAGTACTGCCCTCTTGGGCTGGGGTCTCAACCCCACACCACACCAGTGCCAAGCCACCATGCCTTCAGGCACTGCTCTGTGCCCCAAACAGGGCACCCAGGAACCCCCAGACTACTGGGGAGCTCCTGTGAGGCCTCCTCACACCCCTACAGCCTCACCTGGTCCTCCAGTGATATACACAACAGAACCATAAGCCAGCCAGCTGTAACAAAACCATAAGCCTATCAGCTATATCAAAACAATAAGCCTACCGGCTACAACATAAAGTCCAGGCCCACCTGGCTCTCTTGCCAAAGCTTCCCGCTCAGGCTTCTGTTCACCCTTACCATCATGCAACCCTCTGGGTGCTCAGGCTGCACTGCTCAGCTTAACTCTCCTGCAGAGCTCCTACACCTCAGACTGCCAGAAGGGAGCTGCTCACCAGGCTCCGGCCTGGCTGTTTATAAGGGCCCGGCCCTGCCCCCTTCTGGTCACCTGACCAGCCTGGTTTCTCTAGCAACCAGCACCTGAGCTGCCCTGGCAAAAATCAGCAGAGGCCCTAATCCCTACTTAGGCACGGGGCACCCGAGTGCCCCCGTGACAGGCATTTATAGATGTGCTCTGGGAGGGAGGATGGTGCTTTAATTATCACAGCTCCAAGAGTCACGCTAATTAAAAGTGCCTGGAGCATCAGTGTCCCTGTGCTGAAAAATGGCAGTGGGGCACTTTGAACTAAAGCTCATCAATTGAACTTTAGTTTAAAGTGCCCTGCCACCATTTTTCATTGCAAGGACACTGATACATGTGACTCTGGAGCCTGCTGGAGCGCAGTAATTACCATGCTCCAGCAGCCTTGATTAATCAAGATTAATCAAGTCTACTCCTGACACGCTTTAATTACAGCGCATCTGAGCAGCCTCCCTGCACATGTATAGGAGCTCTGTGCTTTTATTTAATTGAGTCTGGGACTTTGAAACCTTTAATGGAAGTGTAATATTTTTTTAGGAGAAAAAATATATAACATGATTATTAGCATGATTATAACATGATCTTATTAACATGATTATTTATCAGATTGTCTTTTCAGGGTCAGGGTTATCAAGAGTTCAGCTCCTAAACTAAGGCCAACTTTCTGACAGTGAACCTTCCATTCATAATCCTTAAATGAAAGGATCATTATTACAAGTAACGAACAGTTCTCTGTTATCACTATTCTGTTCTGAATAGTGGGGCCTCTATGAACATGTAAATAGGAGTTGTTAGGTGCTGAGGACTTTTGAAAATAGTTATATTTAGTGTACAGCTATGAGGCAACATATAACTCTATGGACAGGGGAAAAAATGAGTTTTTTTTTAAACTAAAGTAACAACATATTTTTTAAAGTAACAAAACATGAACAAAAATAATTTTTCTATAACTTTTTCAGGAGTTTCAGAGTATTCTAACAAGATCATTAATAATATGCTAGTGAATAGGATTCTGCCCATGCTCACACTGTATCAGTTTGATTTACACCTCAACCTTTAGAAGACTAAAGTGGTTGGAGTTCTGAAAACATCACTGAAGTTTTTGACAACTAAGCACCATTTTGCTTCAAAACATTTGGATACCAAGTTAAATTGTGAATCACTATTAATGAGCCTTATGTTATTGTTGTAGATGGATATGAGAGAAGCATTGTGGCTCCATTTATAGTATAACCTGGCAGCTCATAATATAATGCTCCTACTAAAGTCTGGTACAGTTATGACTTGTTATTCAGATTGAAGCAACATGCTCTAAACTCAGTTTGGGCAGATCCAGTAGATTCCACCTGTATTGCAGATCAAGAAGCTACTAAAAGTTATCTGGCCTTTACCTTGGGTTGGTTTGCCAATATGGTATTTAGTGACAGTCACTATTCAGCTGTCATGAAGTCCCAGGTCTCTGCTATAAGTTCAAAGTAAGGCTGCCTATCCTCAAGGCTTCCAGAATCTACTGAGGAAAAAAGACTATAATCAAGGGCACTTCTGACTTCTTTGCCATTAATTTATTATACTGCTTGCAAAATAAAACACCAAGAAAAGCCACACAGTAAGCCAAGTGTTTCTGGGGACCAAGAAGCTGAACAGACAATGGATCCTTCCTGGCTTGTTGCCACTGGGACTGTATGGCTGGCTGTAGTACCATGGGTTTTACGCAGACTCCTGAAATATGTCAACGTACGGTGTAGGACTCATGATCCTTTGCACATTGTTAGCTATTGATTGCCAAAACAAGGAGTTTGTGTAGTGCAGTTTGGGCAATTTAGTTATGGCAAGACACCCAGATGCTGTAGCAATGAGTGACTACTGTACCAGACACACTGTACCAGAGTGACTTTGTATACCTTGTTTTGCTTTTGCATCCCGTCTTCTAGGAAAGTTGAAGACTGGGGGTGCTTTTATATTTGATAACTCAGATTGAGCTTATTTTAGCATTTGAAATGACACACATGCTCTATCAGCTATTGGACTCTAGAGATGATCTTTCTGATGCCAGCAGTCAGGCTTTCCTGGCATGCATCTTACTGCTGGCAATGGGACATATTGCAACTGCCAGTACCAAGGGGTTAAAGAGCAGTGACAGTAAGCAGATGCTAATGCAGAAAAGATATTTTAGTATTCTCATTAAAATAAGTCATTTCTCTGCCTTCATGGATATTTGCACAGTTTTGCTTTCCCATTGTTAGTTATAAAAGGTCAGCTCATGGAAAATTAAGTTAATAGGGTCAGTGCAATTTGATGAAAACTAGTTTTAGGTTGCAGCTTAGAGAAGATAGAGGGTAATGCACCTGATTTTATGGGCTTTCTTACATCTGTTCAAAATAAAACTTCTGCTCTCTTGTTCTAGGATACTTATAATAACTCTCTAATTTACATCACTGAGAATGGGTTTTCCCAAAGTGACCCTGCTCCACTTGATGACACTCAATGTTGGGAGTATTTCAGGCTGACTTTATAGGAGATTTTAAAAGGTACAATTTAAAATGATGAAAGATCAATTGTGCAAACTTAATATAATTTTCCTTTGTGCCCATTTGCATTCAGCAATGACCAATGATTCTTGAAGTTAAAACTCATGTAAATCAGAATAAAGTGATGTGATTAGGAAAAAAAATGTTTAGCAGAAAGAAAAGCAAGTAGGTTTTCATCCTGCTTCACCATCTTGGAATGGAATGAAATGAAAATGTTCAGCACTTTGGTTTTTTGTAACTTTCTCCCTTGTTCAATATATCTTGATAAACTGTGGCCTTCTGCCAATTGGTCATGGTTGGAGTTATGCTGTAGCCAAAATGGTCTATAGCAAGTATTTTTGTGTATGATATCTTTTATAGGATGGCACTTGGTACCAGAAAGCTCTCTACATCTCTCCCAAGTGTACAGTTGGTCTAATAAAAGACATCACCCACAAAACTCCTGGTCCCTCACTTTTGTCAAATGATATTTTTATGGACTGCCTGATATAAAAAAAATAAGAATGGAACTTCATAATCCCCAGAGTTTAGGTTCACGTTTTCTCAAGTGAAAGAGTACCCACAGCTATGGCCCAGTTCTTAAAAAGTGCTTGCTGTTCTGCAGTTCTTATGGCACAAAATGGGAATTGCTGGGTGCTCAGTCTGTTTGAAAACCGGGCACTGATGTCTGAGATGTTTGTTGTTACAAGAGGTTAAGTCTGGTTTAAGGAAAACTGAACCTAGTGAGCTCCATCCAGTGTGTCTGTGTTCCCCAGTAACATTTATCTCAGGGTACAGGTGACACATCATTTCAGTCCAGCTTGAACCTTTAGGGCTAGATTCTCAAAAGTGATTAGTGCTGTGGAAGCTCTACTCCTAGTAAAACAAATGGGATTTTTACCATTAGCTCTTATGAAAATTCATTTAAGAAGTGATTTTAACCCATGAGGTGAAGTTTTTCTTATATATCAGATTAGAACTGAATTTTAAAATGCAGTTTCTTTTATGACATCTAATCTTCCTATTTATCATAAATGATCACAAACATATAAATATCGTTATTGAATATTAGTAATTTGGCAACACTTAACCTTTTTATTTTGATTGCCTTTTTTTCTCTTGCCACTTATGTATTCTTTTCCCTGTGTGAGCTTTGAATGACAAACCGTATTAGGAAAGATTAAGAGACCTGGGACTGTTTCTCCTGGGGAAGAGAAGATGAGGGGGGACTTGATAGCTGTCTATAACTACATAAGGAGTAAATACTGGGAGCTGGGAGAAAAACTGTTCACTAGGGCACCGTAGGTGAGGACGGGGAACAATCGCCGTAAACTATTAGAGTTTGGTTTCAGGTTGAATGTAAGGAAGAACTTCTTTACGGTAAGGGTGACCAGAGTCTGGAATAGCCTTTCCGAGGAGGTGGTGCAGTGCCCAACCTTGGAAGTCTTCAAGAGGAGACTGGACATACACTTTGCTGGGATCACTTGATCTCAGCAGTATTCCTGCTCAGAGCAGGGTGGTTGGATTTGATTATCTTTTTAGGTCCCTTCCAGCCCTTAATTTCTATTATTCTATGAAAAATTCCTGTTTTACTGTCCTACCCTTACCTGCTCACTCCAGGTGCTAGTTTGGCCTCACTTTTGTGTATCAGAGAGATTGAACAAGGTTTTCTTTGAATCATTTGGAGTGGGTGTAAAGAGGCATAGTGATAGCATGCATTTCTTAGAAAGTTCCAGCTGAATGAGGTAGGGCCTGTCATTCATTACAGTTCCAGTCCAGCAGGCAGAGCTCATATTGGCTCTCTCCATCATCTACAGACTCACCAGTGACTTCCCTATTTATTGGAAGACTGTCGTCCTCATATTGGGGGACTGCTGATGTTGATTAAACCAACTAAGCCCTTAAACACTTGTGTGGACTCACTAATGTCTATGGAACTATTTGCAAGCTTAGTCATACGTATAGGCTTAAGGGAAGTGGTAGGTTACTATCTGGATGTTTTTTGTAGTGCAAGCACAAGAATCCCCAGTCTTGTTGAAGCCTCTGTGTAGTACAGCTATACAAATATTAAATACAGAGGTGTGACAACAGCACTGCATCATGGGTAGCAGCACCACACAAGCAGCAGTGACTGCCAGTAGCTGCATGGCTGGCTAACAGTGGCAGCAGCTGCTATTTTTGTGCTCCCAAACCGGCACATGGGGATGGTGCCTTTATCACCCCTTGTAAAAGGGAGCCCTAGCCCTGTGATGGAGAGAAGAGTGCCAGGTGTGGGAAAGCAGCAAGGCTACTTTAATGCTAGTGCTTTTGTAGCCCAAGGGAAAGGGCTGGCAGCCTACAGGGGGCAAATAGATTGGCAGCATCTGGGCCAAGCTGGCAGGAGGCCTGGTCAGCTGATTGCAGGGGAAGGGTTAACTGCGATTTAGACCCTTCCTCAAGGCGGAGGCCAGAGGACTAGCCCTGCAGCAGAGAAAGATGGAGCCCTTGAGGCAGACAAGAATGAATACAAGCCACAGAGTGAGACTGAGGCCTTAGAGGAGGAGACCCTAATGGCTGGAAGGGAGTGAGTGCACCCCTGGGGATAGTGTATATTAACCGGGGGGGCCCTGGTTCACCGAGTGTTACCAATAAGTGAACATACACACATACGAAAAAAAGAGAGAAAAGAAAAGAAAAAAGCAACCCCGTCTTGGGTCAACATAAACAGTCCTTGAAGGGCTCCTGCTCCCCTGGGCCAATATAAACAGTCCCCAGTTCTCTAGGCTTACCCACTCCCCAGGCCTTTCCCTGGATTTACATCAGTAGTCCCCAGTCGTCCCAGTGCAGCTACTCCCCAGGACTCCCCTGAGTTAATATAAACAGTCCCCAGCCTTCTAGGTACACTCAATCCTTTCTTGTCATTAGGATCTCCATCTCAGTCCTTTTCTGCTGTAGGGCTGGTGCCCTGGCCTCTGCCTTGAGGAAGGGTTTAAATCCAAGTTAACCTCTTCCCTGCAGCCAGCTAACCAGACCTCCTGCCAGCTTGGCCCAGGTGCTGCCAATCCCCCTGCAGGCTGCCAACCCTCTCTCTTGGGCTACAAAAGCCTTAGCCTTAAAGTGTCCCTGTTGCTTTCCCCCACTTGGGCCTCTTCTCTCCATAACAGGGCCAGGGTTCCCTGTTACACCCCTCTCCCCTTCCCAGTTATGCTACTAGTTAAATAAAAAGGTTTACATTTTCCTTTCAAAGTAATCTACAAGAAAGGAAAACCAATGTCGTTATACCCATGGCATTCCCTTCCCAAGGCACTGAGTCACCAGTTTCTTATATTCACCCATTAATTGCTGATCTAGGAATGAACAATCTAGTTCAGGTGCTCAGCTTGGATGCACTGTATACGCAGCATTTTTTGCTGCTGTGCCAAGGTATCTACTATATTCAACAGTTAAATGCTCATCCATTTGTTAAATGCTACTTGAAGCAAAACACTTAATTGTTCTTTGAGTCTAGCTTCTCTACAACATCCTCCTGCCTTTTGAGCTTACATTTCCAAATGATTAATATGGGTCCATTCATGCAATGAACTTCCTGTGGGCACAGGGGTCTTTCTGAATTTTACTGCAGGATCTGGGGCTAACCTTCAGAAACTCTATTTTATCTCTTCATGATATAATGGGAACACATGAAAGCAGGGAAGTAAATATCCTTAACAAAGGCAACCCAGTCTGGAATTTTCTGAATTGTTGTTGTTGCTACATTGAGAAAGGACATAGAAAAATGCAAAGTAGGAGAAATAAAAATATCCAAGAATTAAAAAACAGTCAGAGAGATGGAAAAAGCTAAATTTACATACTCTCTAGGAGACGATGTGTGATTATGAGTTATAAAAATATTCTAGATATTTACAGAAATGGAAGCAAAGACAATATTTAGGGCCTGATTCATCTGTCCTACATTTGCTTTAAGTACTTGATGCTTAAATTATACTAATGTCCCATTTAAGGTCACTTTCCAGTGGCAAAAAAGAATAGTATAAATGACAGTTAGATCCTTGCACTCTGAGAATATAGTAGAACAAAGGGCACCGTGCCATTTTAACTGAGGTTGCAACCAGCTAATTTTGAACATATTACAATATAGTTGAAGCATAAGGATAGTTTGGTCAGTGGAGTAGGTCTTGTAAGTAATCATTGCAAATGTTTAAAAATGTAGATGGATTCAACTTATTTCTACAAATATCTTAAGAGTCTTTTTGTGCTCTCAAACTGGCAGATGGCATATTAAGAGCGCCATCCTTCAATAGGACATGTGCTCCTAAGTCACTTAGGGAGTTCTGAAAATCCCACCTGTTGTGACTAGTGTAGCAAAGAGATGGTACACAAATGGTTAAAACTCAGGTGCCTTCTATGATTATTATAATACTGGTAGATGTCTGAGTATGGGAAGGTATGGGACCCCCTACATGTGCAAAATAAAAATTCTAAACATTTTTAAATAAACATGCTTCTGCTTATTTCTATTAATAGCACCAACCAATATTTTCAAAAGCGACTGGTGATTTTAGGTGTCTCCACTTTTTGAGTGATCACCGTGAAGCATCTTTAAGTGACTTGATTTTTACAAATAGCTGTATGCCTGTGATCTCAAATACTTCAATGTATCTTGGATTTTTCAGCCAAGAGCCAAGGCTCTCCAGATCACTAAAACTTGGCCCTGAAACCTAAATTGTAAGTATTTGAGGGCAGAGGAAACTTTTTTTTCCTTTCTTTCAGCTATCAGCACAATAGGATGCTTGTTTGTATAGCAATCAATACAATAGGATGCTGATCATAATACAAATTATAATAAAACTCACTGGATAACTACCTTCTGCTTCATTTTTACATATGCTTGTAAATTTAGTCACAGTAAATGGAGACTTTTCCTTTTTTGTTCCAAGCATGGATCAATCAGATTAGGAAAAGTAATATAAATATGGACTGTCAAATGCAGCAGCCAATTCTACAAATATAACATGTTATAGATAGAATGCACATACACAAGAGGGTTTTTTAAAGGGGGCATACTTGCCTTTGTATTTTCCTGTACTCTCTGAATAGATAAAAGCATACATAATTTAACAGAATACATGTATTTATTACCTGTACAACATCATAGGCAGACATGGTGTTTAAATAAATGAAACTGATGATTTCTTACACCAAGAAGCTTAAGAATAAAGTCAGATGCAGTGCAGGAAGAGATGACTTAACAAAACATGGACCAGGTGTATGTGGAGGCCATGGATTACATCAGTGAAAGATTCAGAAGTGCCTCTTACTTTTGAGCTTTGTTTCTTTTTGGTCTTTAATTGAGAATGATGTCTAGCATGAAGATCCGGGTATAAAGTATCAGTGAAAGGCTGAACAATTGACTTTGAAACAGAGGAGGGTAATTGTGTGGTGCATTGAGTTTGAAGTATTCTCCAGATATGGAATGATGTAAGGGAGTCAAGAGATAAAACATTGAGCTAAACTTGGAAAATGTGGTACAGAGGACATAGAAAACAACAGAAGATGAGATGTGCTGTTAGGTTTCAAAGATGTAAACAGGAAAAGAGATGAGAGAGAACAGAAAAGTTGAGATTGATGTGTAGAAAGGTAAAGAGGAGAGAAAAATTACCAAGGTTTTAACAGTAAAGCTAGTGAGAGAGAGACAGAAATTTGGAAAACATCAGAGAGGCCTAGGGAAAGAGAAGGTACAGCAGTATCTAGATGCAATATGAAAAAGAAATAAACCTATGTGACAGGTATGATAGTGAAACTGTCAGTAGTGAATTAGAAGTGGGTGTGAGTATGAGTGGGAAAAATAGGAATCATAGAAAATAAGGGATGAAAGGGACCTCAGGAGGCCATCTAGTCCAACCCCTGCTCAAAGCAGGACCATCCCCAATTATATCTTCCCACCCCAGGCTT